TAACTTAAATCTCCTATATATATATATATTATTGTTATTATTTGACCATAAAATGGTCATACATTTCGGAAATTTACGCAAAATTGTTAAATAGTTTACCGTTTATTTATACAGCTTTTCTTTGGGAAAATGCGCACTGTCTATAATTGTAACGAATATCAGTAAAATTAGTAGAGTTAACCGTCAATTTATACTTCTATTATATAAAGCATCCTAACTCAATGCATAGGGGTACACCTTATTCCATTGATTACAACATCTAACTACTGACAAAAACGTGCCGGGTTCTTTCCCAGGCCGCAATAAAGATCTTTCTCAAGCACTCACGAGCTCGTAATAGTGACCACAGGCAACGAACACGCAACACCCGCATTCCTCTACAAGGCAGATATTTCGTTTAGTTTCCCACGGTTTGCCTTGATTCGGCAAACAAACCACAACGTCGAGACCCCGAATTAAAGATAACTTTAAGGAGCATAATGTTTATTTACCTTCAGTGAACATACATTTTATGAGAAAAAATTTATTGGCAGACTTGTATCTTCATGATCATAATAGCTTTACCGGCGGGAATATATTTTTACGGACGGTGACAGGAACTCTTTTTTCCTGGTTTTTAAACATTTTAGAGAGCACTAATTGAATCAAATAGGAATGAAACATTAGTTTTTTCTTCACACGCAGATGAAATATTGTAAGTTATATTGTGAGTAGGTTAAATACAATAATATGCTATTTTCATAACCACTGGTCAATATGAAGGAAAGAGTACCAGTACTGACGATATAATGAAAATTCAGTTTTGTTAAAAACGCTTGTGATCTTATTTTTTAATATTTAAAAAGTTATTCCCATGCTGTATTGCCTGGACTGGAAAAAATTGAGAATTATTTATTGTTATTGCTAATTTTTTATCTAGGAGTAAAAATCTCCCCAAATTGGTTATTTTCAAAAAATGTTTTATAACGTTTAAAATATTTAAGTTATTTGTCCGTTCTAACACTCACGTAATTCTTAACGGCTAAATGGCATATATAACTTAAGATTATAGTTTTGCTTAAAGGGAAAGGCAATTTAACTGTTGCATTTAGGAATATCATGTTAATTTACCGTCAGTGGCCATATATTTTATGAGAAAAATTTACAGGCAGATCCGTATCTTTATGATTATGAGAGCTTTACGTTAATAAATTCATTTTTATGGACAGTGCCTTGAACTCTTTTTGTTGGTCATACACTGCAATCTAGTGGTGAATAGTTTGATAATTAACATGATAAGTAACAAGCGTTTCTTTTAAAACTTATAAAAATGAATAACCGAACATTACTTTTATTTTCTATACAATGAGAATTCTGAGACATCCACAATTAAAACCAGTACCAAATCAATCCCAGTTACAAAATCCCAATTTCAAAACCTGAATAAATTTTTAAATATTTTTGCCTCAAATTGTACTTCATAGTTTAAATTTTAATATTTAACCTATGAAATTAACTACGACAAACAATAAAAAAATTAATTAATGATGCATTTTATACAGTTTTTCTGCATAAATATTTTTAATCTACGTAGACATTTTTCAGAATACTTTATAAAAATATCTGATTTCTGAATTTCAGTTTAGCCAATCGAAAATTTCATTTAATATGAATATCCAATGCCAAGGACAGGAAGAAAAAAACTGAACTTATATTTAATTTACGACCGTCGTCCTCAACTGTCATCCTCAACTCAAACATCTATGAGTTTTATACCGGTGTGATCGAATAATATTGCAACAGGCACGGTTCTAGTAGATGGCGCTTCTTATAAGAAACGTGCGCGAATATCCCAAATTCCTCGTTTTATTTCGTGCCTCGTTCACTGAATTTATTTTAAATTACCAACTCCGGAGGATATAGATGCAGAAATTTTCTCCCGAATTTGCTATAGCACGTGCTTTGATATGGCTATAGTAAATGGTTGCTGTTGTTGGAGAAGTTTAAGAAGTGGAAGTTTTGCCGCAGGATTTTATGTTTTGGTAAGCATTGTATTTATATATTTTGAGAAAAATAATTGTTGTTTGACTGAATATGTATATATAGTATTATTGCTACGTTAAAATCTCAAGAATTTAAATCAACTATAAAAATCTTTACAACTGATTTCTTATGAAGAAATTAAAATTTTTCGTCAACTACAAGTTATTGAAATAAAATTATTTTTAAACTGAAAAGAATGACAGGCAAAAAGAATTCTGCTCTGAACAAAAATTGCTATTAACAAATTTAGCATTTTAAGAAATAACACTCCATTTTCAACGAATAACCAAATAAAAATAACTAAATAAAATTATTATTATCGAAGTGTAGTTAAAGCATAATATACGAACATTTACTTGATATAAACTATTCACTCTTAACACTTCTTCCCATATTATAGAACCGTTTATTTTTGGTTTTTGTAGTCCAAGCGAGAAAGGAACATTCTTTCAGAAATTTGTAAACATAAATGTTTACTCTTTCACGCTTATGGCAGCTTATACGCTTTATATTTCAATTCTTTGTTGCCAACCTGAAAAAGAAATGAGGATTTCATTTATCTACGTGTATATATACTATATAAACAGTTTTTCAAAGCAAGGAATTATTAGTTAGATGTACTAACTAAATAATCCTAGACATACTTGTACTAACTAAATAACTGAAGCGGTGAGATATTACTTGATTTAAAAAACTTCATTGATTTCAAGAATATACAGATGGAAATAAAAATCGATACGTTTCAAACTCTCGAAAATAGGCACCCATTCTCAAGATTTGACAAATGTGATGGCACCCATTCTCAGGAAATCGCACCACTTTTGTGTGTGAGGCTCATTCAGATGAACATGTGGTACAATGTTAAATGCTTGGGTTCATTCGAAATGTGCCTGTTAAAAGTTAAAAAAAAGAAGTTTAGTATGAATCTGAAACATAGCTAAATCAAAAACCCATCAAACACTGAGCCAAATGGTTAATTTAATAAGTTCATTTCAAATAAAAGTCATGATTGAGCTTTCTAGTAACAAACTGCCATGTTTTATGTTAACTTTTTTTGGCTTAATATCATTTACTGAACATGTAACAGTTCAGAAAATGTAATACTGTGTTTTACATTATAATACTAAACATTTGTTTTAGATTACTTATTCTCTATTTATATATTTAATCATTTTTTCTCTCTCTGTATATATATATATATATACACTGGTGGAAAAAATTAAGAGATGGAAAGCATTTTCGTACATTCATTCGCACATGCAAGATACCCGCACACCGCTCCATGTGTTTGACAATGGTTCCGTGAATGCCNTGCTGCATAAAAAGTTGTGATTAATTTTGTTATACAGTTGTTTATACTGTATAACTATATATATATATATGAAAAATTATGTATACTATACACGATGTAAATTTATAAGCAAATCGGAAAAGAACAATAAGACTGATCATGAAGTTATACTTAAAACAGAAGAGAAAAAACGGAGAACAATGTAGAATATAATTACTGATCCTCTTTAAATTTAATTTAATAAATGTTGAATTAACTAATTAAATTCAAGAAAAATATTTAAATTGATTTTTTTTTTTGAAATTATTTTCAATTGTAACATGAAAAATTAGTAAATTTTCATTTCTACCCCTTTATCTGTATCTACCCCTTTACATAAAACACCTAATCTATTCGCTTTGGCAGCAACAAAGAAACGATTGAGCAGTTATGAAAACATGAAAAACAAAGCATCTACTTTGAATACTAATAAAATAGGCCCCGTTTAAGTAATAAAATCTAGAAAATAAATAAATAAATGAAGCGTTAGACCGTAGACCGTTCACTACGATTTTATCTTTCTCACGACAAACCGTAAGTACGTAGTCGTTCGCTCGTTCCTTTCGTTCAACCAAAAGTATATATTTTATACGAACAGGACATAAATAACGAGAACTGATCAAACCATTAGGCATATAGCTGTAAATAATAGCTTTCTTACCTTTTTTCTCTAGTTCAAAAAAAAATGCATATTTATTTTTCCAGGCATTTTTTGTAGAGATGAAAGACAAAAATAGTTATAGCAACGGATAACAGGCAATGGTAAATGAATATAGAAGGTTGAAATTAAATTAAATGCAATAATCTAAACCTTGAACCAATCGTAAAATTCTAAACAAAAAGTGTAGCGTGTAGTATCGGCTTGGCGATAATTTTCATTCAGATTTGCTGTAAACCCTTTTTCTGGGTACCATGATAATCTTTGTTGTCTTTGCTTTCAATAAAGTCAAATTCGGGTTACCACAACTTTTGTTTACCTTTAGCGATTGGTTCTAGTTTTTATTTTTCGTTTTTTCCCATTCATCATTGTTTATTATCTTCTTTGTTCGAGATCTTTTTTCAACTTTGTTCTCGTGGTCCTCCCACGGTTAGCTCGACGGCATGGGAATCTAACCCATGATACGCCTACCAATGAGGATATTTCACGTCAGCACTGTGGTCGGTGCAAGTCGGATGCGGAATTCGTATTGGCCAGACATCGCTGGGATTCGATCCCGGTTCACCTCATTTGAAGGCGAACGTTCTGAACCCTTCAGCCATCACTGCTCAAGGTATTAAAATTGAAACAAGTGTTGTCTACTATATTAGATTTTGTTCTTATTAAAATGAATGCCGTATATAATAAGAAATGCACTATTCAAAATCTCTAAACGAAATAACGAATTTTCTGCGAGTGAATTCAAACTAGACAGATAATATACTGAGAAACTCAATGAATATTTTTTCTTCATATTGCTTGCTGTAGGATTAGGTTAAAAGCGTTTGCGAGCAATTGTTTGCAAAGCTTTCAGGTAATAAAACTAAACAGACTGCACAATGATTACCTTTTTTCCTTTCCGGAAATTTTTTTACATTTTCTCATTTTATTAACGAAGACAAACAGTGAATTTGTCAATCAGCTAATTATATACCATTTGTTTATTTTAGAGTTTCATGAAAAAATTCGTTCAGAGCTTTTTCTTGTCAAATTAAATTTGTTAATACGAGTGACTTGATTTAATTAAATGTTTTATTTGCATTAGAGCTAAATTTTTAAATAAAATTAATTGTAAGACATAGTAATAAGAGCAATAGCAATTAGTTAAAGTGCATTTTTACATTACACTTATTTCACAGCAATAATAATTATTTTGTTCGAAATACACTTTCATCGTAAAATAATACAATAATTAAGTAGTAAATAATAAAGTATTACACTTTGCTGGCATGCGTATTTTTAGATTTCGTTTTGCTTTTATTTAAATTCTCACATTTTTATTTAGATACAATAATACTTATTTTGGTTGAAATGCGCTTTTACCGCATACTTTAGAAATATATTGCAAAAATGCACTTCAACGAATATATCATCTGTAATATATCTTCTGTATCAGCTGTTCTGGAATTTTTTAAACGGCACTTAGAGTATGTTTGAAATTTAGTTTAATAATGAATTCTCTTTGACACTAATATTGCGAAAATTATGTTAGCAGCGATCAGAAAACGATTGGAACATGTACTGTTTTCAGATAACGGAGCTTAATTGAATTTTGAAACTCTAGCTCAACGAAATGATGTCAGGAATTTGATTAACGACACATTTATTGCAATATTTGCTGCTGATAAATTAATATAGTGACGCATTCTGTATGTGGTGGTTAGAAAACGATGCGAATTGTATTGTAATCAGGAGCAGAGTTTAAAATAAAATTTGAGGCCTTTTGCAAAGCTTTGACAGGAGAAACTATCCTATCACTATAACTTCCGATCACTTTATTGCATTTAGCATGCAATATAGTGAATGGAATTCTTTTATTTTTATTTCTTTTTAATGGCCTGCATTGAATTTTAATTTTTCGCCACGAAAATGCTGCTCATTTAACGTTACCTGTGGGTATCCGTGACCTAAGTCACGGGAGGGGGGGGGGTACCATTACCCAAGTCACAGATACCCGTTTACAGGATTGGTCACATTCACACAACGCAGAACAACACGCAGACAGAAACATCCATGCCTGAGAGCAATTGGAATCCGCAACCATTGGCTTTGCAGTCAAGCATGCTGACAGCGCGGCCTCCTGGCTGGCAGTGATCTGAATTTTGAATGATGGAGAAAAAAACTATAAAGTTTGCTAGCAATCTATAGAGACAGATTGAAATTTATGTTCTCATTAGGATCACGACTGTAATATAGACAAGAGAGCTTTAGATTGAAAATTTTGAAATTTTATTACAAGATACCTTTTTTCAGAAATACGTTTAATTAAAAACTGTATAGACTAGACCAGTGTTTCCCAACCTTTCTTGTGCCATGCCCCACCTAAGACATTCTAAAATTCTTCTGCCCCCCTATGTAACATATACATAATTTTTAATATTAAAAAATTGAATTGTTCACTTAAGAAACTTAAATGATATGTTTTAGGAAGAAATCACCAGGAAATTGTTAACGAAACACAGTAAGTAAATTTTCGAAACATATAATGAAAAAACTAAAATTCAAATAGTTTTAATAAAGATTTTTCTATAATAATTTAATATTTTAATTTAGTCAGATCCTTGCAGCACAGAGATTTTATGTTAGGTTCCAATTTGGTTAGCTTCAGTCTCAAGTATCCCCGTTGTGTAATATCCAGACGATTTCTTTTTTTAGCAGTAAACCATTTACAGCACTAAATCCAAATTCAGCTAAATATGAAGATGGAAACGGTAGCAATAGTTTTCTTGCACATTTAGTTGAATTTGTGTATTTGATTTCTGTTTCCTCACAAAGTCATGCCACCACTCCCTTTATATTAAATAAAGTTTCAACTGACTCATCATTTTGCATTTCTGCGGGTTCTTCTTGGTACTGCATATTTGATATATCAGACAAATCCACTAACTTGGGCTGCATCATCAATGTTGGAAAATCAATTTGTTTTAAATCAGAGAATCTTTCTTTTAAATCAGCCGATAGAATTTTCAGAT